TAATGTTAATTTTTAATAAGTATATATAAGTACCATTCCTGCTTTTAAAGCCAAAATATGGAGATTCACTAAATGGATAACAGTCTTTAAGAATCGGAAGCTGTTTTCAACCTGAAAAAATTTTATTTATATGTATTGAGGAAAAGCTTTAGCCTCTCTGTCTTATGTAAGTAATGTTTTTTCCATTAATTTAACTTTATATATTATTATAACTACCAGCTTCAATTTAATATCTTGCTATTTTTTATCTCATTTTCATCAAGGAATAAGTACTATATATCTTCCAATTGTATTTATCCTTCAGTATAGGATTAATATTAATTAACTATAATTAAATAATTTTTAAATTAGAGATTTTTGTTGCTGCATTTATTTTTTAATAAAGGCTTTTATATTCCATATATATTATTACTCCCTATTCCTAGCTATAATACCACCTTTTGTTAGATTATTGGCTCCTAAAAGGTAAGGGACAGATTTCTTTTAAAAATTCATTTAACTTCCAGTCATATGGATTCAGTTTTTATATTGTGTATTTGGTTGGTTAATATGAGGGTTTTTAAAGTAGGCAAGTGAAAGAATCACTTAATACTGAAATAATTTATTGTAGGAGCCTCCGAAACTTTTTCCTTTGGAAATCTGACAGGACAGAGTTGGTGTGGCACCACTTTAATAGGAGGCTGAGAGGACTTTAAGAATCTTAGTACCCAATTATTATTATAATTATCTTTTTTTCTTTCTTTTTTTGAGACAGGATCTTGCTCTGTTACCCAGGCTAGAGTGCAGTGGTGTCAGCCTAGCTCACAGCAACCTCAGACTCCTGGGCTCAAGCAATCCTCCTGCCTCAGCCTCCCAAGTAGCTGGGACTACAGGCCCGGGCCACCAGCCTGGTTTCTCTGGGCACATCTTGAAGCCAGCCAAAGGCAATGTTGGAGATGGTCAAGAGTTAGACATTTTGGAAAATCTTAGGCTAGTTGAAATACTAAAGAATTATTGTTTAATTACTATTCCTCTGACTTTGGAATATTAACACCCTAGAAAATTACTATGATTAACAAGGACTTTGAAAATTTACATTCCACAAAATTATCAATCTCACAGAGTTCTGTTTGTTTTAATACTGTTTTTGTTTTAAGGATTAGAAATAATGTAAATAAAATCCTGGGAAAAAGTACTCTTTGTTCAGTAAGTAGAGCTATTACTGTCACTTCTTGCCCTCAAGGACTACATACATTGTTTTCTACTATTGTACCCCCTCCCAACGCCTAGCATATATGGTAATCATATAAATATTTATCGAATGAATCAATGACAGTCCGGTTGCACTCTGTGGCCAAACTCTGCGGTCCCGGGTTCCAGCTTAGAGCATGAAGCCTCGCAAAAAAGAACTTCAAAGACCATACTGCTAAACTACAATTCCCAGCATGCAGTCAAATTCCGTGGTTGCAGTGAATTCTGGGAAAGAAGTCTTGGGCTCTCCATTGGCCACATATGAGAAGCGTTTTAGTTTGTGCAAATACGCCGGCTTTAGCGTACGTACGCACGGAGACTGCGCAGATCTCCCCGTCTGCGTTCTGCGGAACTAATTTTGAGTGGAGGGATTTTAGCCGGTGGGATTTAAGAACAGTCTCATTTCCGGTACCACCGGAAGCAATTTGAAAATGGCGTCTTCCTCGCTGGGCAAGCCGGACAAAGCGGTTGGAAAGAGTGAATTTCGCAACCAGAAGCCAAAGCCGGAGAACCAAGGTGATGTTGTGTGAGACCTGAAGTCTGGGGTTTGTGGATATCGAGTTGCGATTTTTTTCTTTCGTTGGTTGTGAATGTATATAGCCACCTGGACTTGTTTTGTGTAGAGTACCTGTGTAAATTGCTGATGTCTGGAGGTGTTAGCTGGGTCCCAGGAACAAGTGGCCTATACGGCGCCCCTCACGTGTTCCTAACTCATTGCGTTTGCTAAAGGCCTCCCAAAGTGTAGCTGTTGCCAAATCAGTCTTATGTAAAAGGATGAGGGTTAAAAAATTGCGGCGGGCGCTGCATAAGCTTACAGCGTGCCTGTGACTGAAAGTCGTTGACAAAATGAGACACTGGATGAGATGGTAATGGGTAGTCATTATGTACCGGAGTGAATGCTGATAATGGACTGAGACAGTGAAATGGAGAAAGGAGATGTCTGACATGCTCTTAGCTCAAGTTTGTCAGTCAGTAGAGACATTTGGGAACATTTGTCAGTTATGTCAGTTATGCCTATTTGTCAGATTGCTAAAATATTAGACGACACAGCTGTTGCTCTTTATACTGCCCTACTTTTTAATTGCTCTCTTGCGTTGTAGTCTGGTTTTACCCATTTTCTTCGGTATGAATGACAGGAAGAGAGGTTAGAGCATTATAGGAAGTGTTAAAAAACCTTGAACTTTCATTATAGATGCATTGGGAAGATATTAAATTTTTTATTTTTGATTTTTTAAAAATTATATAATGTACATAGCGAATACAGTGTGTACACAGTTTAAAGAATAAAATCACGTGAGAAACTAGCACTCAGACCATTAAGTACAATAGAGCATTACTGTACACTCTAAGCTCCTTACGTACACCTCTCAAATCATATTCTTCTTTCTAATATCTGAAATAACCATTCTGAATCGTGTTGGGCATTCTGTTCACTTTTTTCATAGTCATAAAGTGGTTCAATTTTGCCTCTTTTTGAATTTTATATGAATGAAAGCGGACTGTATGCATTCTTCTGTATCTTTTGGGTGAGGGGGAGCGAGTGGTTAGAATTTCGCTCTGTCTCCCAGGCTAGAGTGCAGTGGAGTCCTCATAGTTAAGTGCAGCCTAAGCTCTTGGGCTCAAGCCATCGACGCTCCCGAGTAGCTGGGACTACAGGTGCGTTCCACCATGCCTGGCTAATTTTTTTATTTTTTGTAGAGACGTGGTCTCTTCGTCTTGCTCAGGCTGGTCTCCAATTCCTGACCTCAGGGGATCCTCCCCCCAGACCCATCAGCCTCCCAGAGTGCTAGGATTACAGGTGTGAGCCACTGAACCTGACCTCTGTGTCTTGCTTCTTAGGGTTGGCTTTGTTTTTGTTATTCATCCAGGTGATACTTGTAGGTGTAGTTTTATTCTTTAGTATATGGTGTTCCCTTGTATGAAAATAACCCTATTGTTTTCATTCTGTCATTGGTGGACATTTGGATTACTCCAGTTGCTTGCTATTATTAATATAAACAATGCTGCTATAAACATCTTTGCACATGTCTTCTGGTTAACATGTTCAAGAATTTTTCTAGGTTGTAAACATAGGATCGGAATCACTACAGTGTAATGTGTATAAGTAATGCTAACTTTTTTCCAAAGGAATTGTGCTTATTTTGACTCCACTAGCAGTGGATGAAAATTCTCATTGTTCTGTGTCCACACTAATACTTGATATTATGTGAATTTGAAATAATTTGTTATTCTGATAGAGGTGGAATGGTATCTGATTGAGTTTTTTTGTTTGTTTGTTTGTTTGTTTGTTTATTTAATCTGCCCAAATGTTAGATTGAGTTTTAATCTGTACTTTTCTAATTACCTATGAAATTGGACATCTTTTTACACATTTTTTGACTATTTGTACTTCTCTATTATGAAACTCCTGTTTCTTTCTTTTGCCAGTGTTTTTTTCCCTGAGTTGGGGTGTGTGACTTTTTTTTATTGAGCCATAGCCATTAAAGTGTTTAAATTGGATAGGGACTTGATCACATACGCATTTTAAGTAATCACTATTATAGAATTTGAGTTTTTTAAAGGTTATTGGAGAACCAGTACTATATGAAAACTAGCTAATTGTCTTTATTTGAACCAAAAATAGCGAAGTAGATCTGAGTATAAGAAACTGAAGGAAAGCTTACCTGACTGGGGTTGATAACATGAGCTAAAGACCTGCTTTTCAAACTTTACTGTGCTTAAAAATATCCTGATGAGAATGTTAAAACATGTACTCCTGTTCCTCATCCCAGAGATTCTGATTCAGTATGTCTAGGGTAGGACCCAAGAATTGCATTTCTAACAAACTTCCAGTTTATGTTGATTCTGCAGGTCTATGGATCATACCTTTGAGTAGAACTGAATTAGAGTTAAGTTGTTGGATTTAAGGAGTTCTTAAAATTCAGGACCAAGAGTTAATTGCAGGAGATAATTTATGACCCTTGGGAGGCCAGACTGAGTCAGCTTTGTGTACCCTCAAGCAAGTCACTTAGCCTTTTTGGACGGAGTATCTCTTTAAAATGGGAGTATTAATACTAGTTCTTTCTACCTTTCATAGTTGTCATGAAAGGTATATAGAAATAAGGCACTGTGAAAGCTCTTTGGAAAACCTAAAATACCATATCAGGTATTAAGTATATGCTGCAATCAGCTTTTAGAAGTGTTATGCAAGCAAATATATATATATACACACACACACACACACACACACGTATCCAGTTTCCACTCCAGGAAAGTCAGAAAGGTTAATTATATTTAGAAATAATAAAAATTAATTAAAAGTAGTAAGCAAAGTGGCATTTGAATCTTCAACTCTATGATAGTGTAGTACAATACAAGTTTCTTGAGTATCCACTCTCTGCCAGGCATATGCCAGGCAGTATGAATACAAAGAGGAGGGTCCTGCCTTTAAGGAACTTTTGTCTTATCAGGCAACTGAAACATGTGCAAATAATTTTAATAGTTGTTGATGGTAATGACAGAGGCATGTTCTTGTGGAATATTAAAAGCAGAGGAAGAGGAAATGCAAGGAGTATTGGGAAGCTTGTGAATGTATACAATGTTTGTAAAGTGTCCCAAAGACAATTAAAATGTGATGTATAAATGTTTCCCCTCTGTAGATGAATCAGAACTCCTCACTGTTCCTGATGGTTGGAAGGAACCACCTTTTTCTAAAGAGGACAATCCCAGAGGACTCTTGGAAGAGAGCAGTTTTGCAACTTTGTTCCCAAAATATAGAGAGGCTTACTTGAAAGAGTGTTGGCCGTTGGTGCAGAAAGCCTTGAATGAACATGTATGCATATTTTATACATTCCTTTGAGATTTTGCTCTTATGCCTTTACTTTCAAGTAAGTGTATGTGTGCTGATGGATTTTTTTTTAAAGGTGCTAGCATAGCTGGTTAATTTAGTTCCTTTGGTATTTTAAAATGTAGGTAAGCTTTATTCTTATATTTATAATTTGTTTTTAATTTTGTGAGTAATTTGAAAAATTTGCATACATTTAATATTTTAGGAATTTCACAGACTCTCTGAAACTCAACTGTGAAATCCAAATTTCAGAATGCCTACTCTCTAGACCATGATCGTTGCCAGTATCTGTCCATTTGTAGCTAAGTCATGTTCCTAACTAATTTCTTACCTTCTGTATTGAATCAAAGATGTGGATGTGGCCAGCTTTCCCCTATATCATTGCTGCTGCCATACCCCTAGAGGGGTATGTATTTGATTTTGTTTTTGGATTGAAACCCATTAGTGGATTGAGAAGTCAATTTTTAATGGCTATAATTAGCCATAAAAAATCAATGTATCACATGTGGTAAAGGTAAGTACCATTTTATGAGGCTATTGGTTCAGTTTTGTGTGTGTGTGTATATACAGTAGGTTATGATATAAAAAGGATTTCTCACTGTGGGACTGCTCTAGAATTGGTTGTGCCTTTGGGACTTAGGTGGCTCGGCAAGCTGCAGACTGTGTTATATAAGTGTATCTGAATTGAACTCAGTATTTTTTTCTTGTAAACTCATAGAGATCCAATCATATGTGGAATGGTTCAACACTCAATATGTGAAATATTCTTCAGATTATGCTCACAAGTGAGAAAATAGTATTTTCATTTGCTTTATTGAAATCTATTTCTTCCTATTGAGTTAATGCTTAATTTTTCTAATTATTTCTGAACCTATGATAATTTGTTTCTACTTGGTATTTAGTCCCCTAACCAGCTAGAAGAAAGTTTGAAAGGGAAAGTTAATTCTAACCCAAGGGAGCAGACTGGAGATTGGAGCTGGGTCCAGAAAAAGGAAGCTATACAGCTTTATATTTTTGCCTTAATCAGGTCTTAAGTATGGCCTCATTTGAACTGATTTATATTTTGTAAACTAGAGATAATCTATATTCCAATAAATCCAAAGTATTCTAAAACCAAGTATAAATGGTTTCAATTGCTCCAGTTTCTTATATTCGGTAAAGTAGAAAAGTAATTAAGTATTCATTGATTATATTTAACTACCTAGTTTCTTTAGGAAGGGAATTGATAATAGAAAGATGGCTTCATGAACAGTAATTAACTGTTTGGTTAGAATAGGCTGTAGAGTTATCTAAAACTGAATTCATTTTTACATAACTGTTTGTTTGCTCTTTCCTTCTTTTTGTAGCACATTAATGCAACCCTGGACCTGATTGAGGGCAGTATGACTGTTTGTACTACAAAGAAGACTTTTGATCCATATATCATCATTAGGGCCCGAGATCTAATAAAACTGTTAGCAAGGAGTGTTTCATTTGAACAGGTAAATCTAGAATTACACTTTTTTAAAATTTATTTTTTGTTTTATTTGCATCAACATCAGACAGTGTATATCACTGCATCTTTCCCTTCTTCCCTTCCTTCCACCATCAAGTTTTTATGTTTGTGCTTATATATAATTAGCCTGAACTTGGAAAATAAATGTAACTGTAAAGAATACTGATACAGTATTTTTATTTTTCCAAAAGGCAGTACGAATTCTTCAGGATGATATTGCATGTGACATAATTAAAATAGGTTCTTTAGTAAGAAATAAAGAAAGATTTGTAAAAAGAAGACAACGGCTTATTGGTCCCAAAGGATCTACATTGAAGGTACTTTTTATCAGTGGAAAACTTAAGTGTTCTCCTCAATCATTAATTTTTCAGGGTACTGAATTTTAACTTCTTGTATTTTGATATAGGCATTGGAACTCTTAACGAACTGTTACATTATGGTTCAGGGAAACACAGTTTCAGCCATTGGACCTTTTAGTGGCTTAAAAGAGGTGAGAGTTATTTATTACCTTCAATTAATTTTCAGTAGAAAAAGTAATTTGGTTATAATATAGTTCATTAGATAATATATTGCTTTATGTATTGCTTTTTTTTAAGAATGTGCTTTGTTTGAGATCCCACTAGTAAATACTTTGTAGGTCATATAATTTGAGAGAATGATCACTTCTGGACCCCCTAATGTATTATGGTCAACCTTTGGCTACTATGGAGACATCCATTTCTAAATTAGAAGGTCTGTGCATTATCACTCCTCCCACTATAAAATTTAAATCGGCACTTAAGATCTTCAGTCTGCAGTACGTACGAGAAACATGGTATAGTTAGTTACATGTGCTCAAATGATTGGAAAATTGAGTAGCCATCTCATTATTTGCAACAAAGTGTACAGCCAGTAGAGGTCAGACTATAAAAACTTTTCTTCCAGATGTATTTATTAATATTTTTGTTTGAATTTTTAGTATAATGTTTAATGTTTTCATGAGCATTTTCTTTAACTTGTCAAATTAAATGTTATGAGAAAATCTGTGTTGCAGATACTGTTCCTATTAACTCCTTTTGGTGCTGTTATTGTCAGGATCTGGCTATGGGGTTGTACTTCATTTCCAGGGCCTTTAATAGTGATTTTGTTGGCCCTCTTTCTCATAGATTGCCTTTTTCTCATGGAGCAATAATAACTTATATATATTCAATACTTTATAGTTTGAAAGTCTTTAAAATATAAATATATTAATATTAATTCTATAACAAATTTTTGAGGTATATAGTTTATAAATGAGAAAGATGGAACAGGAAAATTAAATGACTACCCTATATGAAGCGACAGTCCCAGTATTTGAGCCCACATTTTCTGACTCTAAATCCAACTCTCTTCCCTGTAAATTGCATAGATCCAGAGTGTTCTGTTAGTTCTATGTACCACATTTTAGGAGTAATTGAGAAACTTCATTTTATTCAAGGGAGGTTGACTACTCTTATGAAAGATCTAGAAGCCAGTTAGAGCAGTTGAAAGAACTACTGTGTACAATTTGCTAGCTACTCCCTGATTTATAGAATATTTTACAATATATTGATATTAATCCTCTTCTACCCAGTTCATTAAAATCTTTATAAGTGATGAATTTATTTTCTTTTGTAAATTTCAGGTGCGAAAAGTAGTTCTAGATACTATGAAGAATATCCATCCAATTTATAACATTAAAGTGAGTATTAATCATACATTATTATACCAGTGGTTGTCAAACTACTTTTAGCTATAGAAATTTGTCTTGAAATGAAATGTTTTATGAAAGTCTAGTATACAAAACAGATAAAGCAGAGCTATTTTGGGTGAATTAGAGATAGAATTAAGCCCACTCAACTCTACCCTAGTCCTGTAGTTACTTCATTGAGAGCTTAGATCTCTAACAAGCACACTGTGAAAACTATTGAATGGGATACTGTAACATATTGTATAGTTCTGAAACAATTAAGGCAAGCTTTACAGAGTTTGTTGTAGATGATATCAGTCCAGTTTTCTTAGATTATGAGTCCATGTGTTATATTTAAAGATGTAATCTTTCAGAATTCTGCCTTTTTCTATTAAATAAAATCAGGACTATCTCAGGTTGCATTACAACCTTTTTTGGAACTTAACATTCAAATTGTAGCCCCTTTGAAAGATTTCTGTTATATTCCCACGTGCACAAAGTTTGCAGTTGTACTTGGAAATGTAACCATGGTATAGTGAGCTGTGTTATGGTGGATATTTGTTGAGCAATTCACTTTAATGTGATGAAAAGTTAAAAGGTCACTGTTAGATTAGGATAAAGTGATTTCGAATTGCATTGGGACATTACAGATAGAAAAGTAGTCATGCATCTGATGCCAGGTTTGCATTCTTTGATGTTCCAATATTTGTAAAATTCAAATGGAGTAAGGGAAATGTGAAAATATTGTTTTCTGTCTAATCATGAAAAAGTTTATTCTACTTTTGTCTTTTCCTATGATAATTCAGTGGCTAACAGGTAATTAGCAACCTCTCTCCTATTAAGTTGAATTTTAAAGGTTTTAATGAAACCATGGTTGAAAAGCTGAGTTAGCTTCATTTTTATCTTTTTATTTTAATCTGCATTTCTTAATCTAACTTCATAATGGTTTTTTGATGTTTGGTTAATTACACATGTTTGAGATGGCATATCTTTTTGTTTATAGAATAGGTTTAATTCTACTGAAGAGGCTAGGAACTGTTCATTTATCATTTATAGAAGCAATATTTTATCATGTCTTAGTTTGACAAATGTGTGACTTCTGAAATTAAAAATTTTTACTTTGTTTATATGTTGGACGACTACAGACCTTAATGATTAAAAGAGAGTTGGCAAAAGATTCTGAATTACGATCACAAAGTTGGGAAAGATTTTTGCCACAGTTCAAACACAAAAATGTGAATAAACGCAAGGAACCAAAGAAAAAAACTGTTAAGAAAGAGTATACACCATTCCCACCACCACAGCCAGAAAGTCAGGTTAGTACTAAATGTTGGACTTTATGTGAGAGAGAAACCATTTGAATCTATTGTGACAGAAACTTTATTGAGAGTATTTTAGGTGGAGAGAGTGTGTGTATATAGAGATAAAAGAAAGGTAAGTGTAAATAGGCATATTTTGAGCTGAGTGCACAGATGTGGGGAATAGGACCTTCATATTGAGTGTATCAAGGTGTGGTGTCAGTCATGTCTGTCGATACTATAAATGTCCTATAGATAAAAAAATGCAACAGTTTAACCCACAATACTCTGCTTTAGCAACATTCTTGTGACAGTGTGCTATATGACTATTATAGTTCTGAAATCTCAAATTCGAATGTCCACCCTTTTTCTAAGATTTTGTAATTGGATTTCTTCCATTTTGTCAACTGTCTTCTACTTCATTTCCTTTCCCATCATGACCAAAATTTCCTTTTCTCTCTTGCCCATCACTTATTTTCTTTCATGTTCCTTTTTATTTCTATCACACCATCCCAGTAAAACTGGGATCAGTCCAAAAACTTTACTTCTTTCCCATAATGTGGTTAATAAACTAAGCCAGAGAAAGTCTTTGGATTAAATCCACTAAAATTTCATGTTTCCAGCCTTAGATGGGTCCTCAATATTGTCTGGCAATTCTATGTGTCCTCTTAATTCTCTCAGTACCCTCTTTTAGCAGATGACATTGAATTTTACTTTACTGAAATATTTGGGACCATCAGACAAGAACTTCGTCAACTTCTTCTCTCACCTGTAATTTTACCTCCATCTGCATCATTCTACCTACCTACCTATTCTTTAAATTCTATCTTCACTATCGCCTGAGGGCTCTTGCTTCATTATTCCCTCCCTTGGCTGTATCTTAAAGTCTTCCCTTTCTATCAGTTCTTTCTGCTCAGCATGTAAATCCATACATTTCTGTCTGCCATCTTTTTTTCTCCACAGGTCTAGAGTTTTTTAGGAAGGTTTGATGATAGGTCAAAAGGGAGCCATGATGATAATCATGGTGAAAAAACAATGGCAGTGTTGGATCATGGAGTCTATTCTGGAAAGGAAAGAGACCAGAAGGAAACTAAGAGTAGTTGGGGGAAAGTGGAGTGATTAAACCATGCTTCCATAACACCTGCCGTACCTCTTGTAGTCCTGTAGTTAGTAATTGACTTGTCTTCTTCCCTACGATGTTTCAATTGACTTCTTCTGACACTTATTCACTGTGTGACTGTGGGCAAGTTATTTATCCCATCATGCCTTGGTTTCCCCATATGTAAAATGCAAGTAATAATACGTATCTCAAAGAACTGTTATAGAGGATTAAATCAGTAATTGTAGAACTTGGACTAGTGCCTTTGTTATAACAATGGTATGTAAATGGGAGATCAGTTGTATACGTTATATATGTTTACTATGTATTCAATGAATAAGCTGTTGCTTTTTCTGATTACTCACTAAGTCTGGACAATTCTTGCTTTTCATTCTGCATGCCACTACCTTTATTCCAGGCTTTTATTTCTTTTTCTCCATTCTTCTGTACCTTATTAAAATGCTGCTTTGGTCTCTTCACTCTTCTTAGACATCATCAAGTCATTTCCTACTTCCTTTGCCAGGTATTCAGGCATCTTCAAACTTCCCCAAAATTATCTTTCTAGTTTCTTCTCACACTTTTCCAAAACATTGACTATTCTGGTTTATATTCCATGAACACATCACCTAATTTCCTACTTCCGTGCATGTATTCCCCTCAGCTCAGAGTACATTTCCTTGTTTTAATGTCACTGCCTTTACAAATTAATCAGTGTTTTGCTTCCACTGTTTTTACCCTAAAGATATTGTGACTTTCTTAGGAAATGACTTATATTATTTGTAATGTAATTGTAAACATTGTTTTCAACAGATTGATAAAGAATTGGCTAGCGGTGAATACTTTTTGAAGGCGCATCAGAAGAAGCGACAGAAAATGGAGGCAATAAAGGTAAGGCTCTTTATGTCTAGCTCATAGCATTAATAGCAAAGATCATAGACACTTGAATTCTTAGTTAACTATGACTTGTATTTCACCAATGTACTTTTTCTTAATAATGTAGGCTAAACAAGCAGAAGCTCTCAGTAAGAGACAAGAGGAAAGAAACAAAGCTTTTATTCCACCTAAAGAAAAACCAGTTATGAAACTGAAGGAAGGTAATGCTTGTTTTTAACTCCTGATATGGTATAAAAGTCTATGAAAAGTGAACCCATAGTGTGAATTTGTCTGAATCTCAATAAGTTCTTTCAGCATTTTAATTACTAATTCTAGGGACAAAAGGTGATTTATACTTCAGTAGCAACTAATGCCTATTTCAGAGTAACAGTCCTTCCCTAACCTTTGACTTATGCTTAGGAAAGACATTTTGTTGTGAAAGATATAAACCTCGAACAGTAAAATCCCTGAGCCCCAATATCATTGTCTCTTAAAGAGGGCTTACCAGAAGTGATGCTTTTCTTCTCTTTACTTACATGATCAGTGGCTTAAAGTTTGTCTTCTATGTTAACATAGATTTCTCATTACCTTGGACTACAGGATGCTGACAATGATAGGAAGGTCTTATTTAAGGGCTAATAAAAAGACACTAAAAGAAAATACTTTTTGTCCTTTCTTCTCCATTTCTAGCCTCATTCTGATATATCCTTTTCCTCCCCTGTGGTAACACTTGTACTCTTCCTAAAGTAACTTTCCAAAGTGAATATTGGCACATTGAGGGGAAGGGGCTTAACATCAGGGTTGTACATAAACTATTGCTAGAAACAGATATAACACATTATTATTTATCTTGTATTTCTTTAGTGTTAATAGCATTAAAAATGGTAATGTAAAACTTAAGCATTATAATTTCCAGTTTGTATAATGTGTCAGTGAAGTACTTCTAAGGCCCTCAATAGCTAGTCAACGTGGGTCTATAATGATTAATTAAGAATGTAAAGTAGAGGCCTTACACCTCTTTGCTCTTCAAGTTGCTGGGTAGTTTGGTGACATTTTATGTCATGATTCTTTTAATACTGTACTTTAAATGGTTAGAAAAAATTGGGTTTTTTCCACTGCTGCTTTTCTCTGTTTTGTTCACACTTTTGGCGTTGATTAGATGGTTGAGTTCTATTAGGAGGACCTTTAGATACTCGAAATCTTGTTAAATACTGCTAGTAATTCATTGAATTAATATTTGGAAAACTTTAGGTTTTCGTTATGATAGATTTGTAGTTTCATGGTTAGCTAATTAAAATTACTGAAGCTAGAAGGGCTACATGTAATATTCTTCATGAAATGTAATTTTATATTAGTGAACAAGGTAGAAAAATATATTAATGAGTACTCTAAAGTTCCAAACTATAGAAAAGAATATAAATAAAAAAATCAAGAAAAAAATAGTTGAATCCAGTAATTGGTTCCAGTTGTTAAACTATCATGTCATTTTCGTGTATATTTAAAGTCCTGTATCCTTAGTTTGAAGAAATTTCTTTTAGGCAGGTGTTTTATAAGATGATCTTTCAGTAATAGTACCTTGAAATTACTGTCAACATGTATTCTTTGTTCTATTTGGTAAAGAATTACATATATTGTGTTTTTAATTCATCTAGCTTCTACTGAAACTAAAATTGATGTGGCTACCATCAAGGAAAAGGTTAAGAAAGCAAAGAATAAGAAACTGGGAGCTCTTACAGCTGAAGAAGTTAAGCTTAAGATGGAAGCAGATGAAAAGAGAAAGAAGACAAAAAAGTAAACAAAAAAAAATCCCCTTAAGTACAACTTAAGCTATCTCCTTTTGTAAAGGATTTTGAAGTACTAGGGCATTAGTTGCCTTATTTGTGAGTAGTAGTACTTGGATCACTTTTTTCCTGAGTTTTAATAGTATTCTTTATAAATTATTGTATACTAGAAAATGATATGTATTGTGTACATTGTACCTACCTAATTGGGTCCAGGCAAGTTTTGCTTGATTTTAGATATGTGACCATTATGATAATGTCCCAGCATTTGGTTTCCAGGAAAATAAATACCAATTTTTCAAAGGCCTCTCTCATGATAGTAAGTAAATATTTAGGTTCATCCCTTTTTACAATTTTGTTTTATTCCAAAATTAAACACCTCCCAAGCAGAACATTAATGCCTCTGAAATCAAATCCTTTAGCTACTATTCTAAAACCAGTAAGACATCAAGTTACAAGAGAGCAAGGAAAAGCAGTATGTGAGAAATAGGGATAATGTTTTTTAAACAATGAGGGCCACTGGAATGACTTAGACCTAAGTCTAATTACTGAAAGTCCAGCTGTGGCAGCCTAAAAACAATTAGGGTATTTGTGCTTCACAAAAATGGTAATTACAACAGATAATAGCAGAATTATTACACTAACAATGAGAAAGAGAGAAAGGTATCTGTTACGTGAAAATATGGGCCAGCCTGGATACACAATAGAGTAGTAACCTGTGAAACAAACAGAATATCCTGTTAGACTTTGTTTCTCATAATGCAGTGACATAATTCACATAGCTTTTAATGAAATACCGGAAGGTTTATGTACGTACGTGTGACATTGTCTCGCTGGGGGTTAACTGTAAAGTCAAGGAAAAGAAAGAAAAAATTAACGGTAGGTGCAGCTTTTATTTTAAAAAGCTAAGTCTTTAGTTATAACCATTAACTATTGCTTTGGCTTTGTTGCAGTGATTTTCAAAGGTTAATTCAAGATTTTGTTCTGAAAGAACTAATTTGGTATTTTTTTAAAGTTTTTATATAAACTTTATATGTAAACTTTTTATGGAAAGGAAACTATACCAGTACTATAAATAATCACTTCATTTTACATTCAATAACTAGCATATAATAAATATATTACCTCTAATATTTAATTCAATTTTGAATTTTAATTGTAAGCAATTAAAATATTTTCCTGAAAATAAATTCCTCCCTGAGAAGAATGATACTATATAAGTCAAGTATAACAAGGCAGCAACCTCTCTTTCATCCATTACCATATGTCACTAAGTCATCAACAGGGCATTTGGCTATCAGAAGTCTTAATTACCTGGCAGAGATCAACTCCCAAGAGGCTTGCAGCCCAGTGGAAAACGTAGGTAGGAATTTTGTTTTTCCTTCCCTCATACATCTGGAAGTCAGCAGGCTCCTGGAGAGCTTTTCTACCCTCATGAGCCCAAAAGCTGGTGCCACCAGTTAACTGGGAGCTTCTTGAGGACAAAGCACCAGGTTACCAGCCCCGCTTGGGGTCACTTCCCATCACCACAGACCTGAGCCAAGAGGGTGGGTGCCATACTGCTTCTCCACCCATCGTGTACCTTTGTCCTTCTCTAAGGAGCTTTAGCCCCTTAATTTTTATGTTGTTCATTCCCAAACATTTTCCAACTCTGGGCCAGACTGCGGTAGCCACAGGGGCCTTCTTTGTCTTTCAGTGTGGCCTTTTGACTGAATCCAAATTTTATGGAACAAATCCTTTTAATAAAGAGATCTATTCTGTGACATCTGGATTCTGTCGGGGGTGCCACATTTGGGTATCTGGAGGGCCACGTGGCCTTGAGGCTGCAGGTTCCCCACCCCTGGGCCAGTGAGTCCTGGGGAGATATGTGTGATCCCAGGGCTTAGACATTCTGGGCAGGCTATCTTCAGAGGGAAGGGACAAAGAGGGCTAGATAGCCAGCTTTCTGCCATTCAGACCCTTTTTCCCCCCCTTCCTTTACCCTCCCCCACCCACTGCTGCTGAAAAGCACTAGTCCCCCAAGGGACAGTTGAGCCAAGACTCAGGAGTGGCTGCTTCCCCTCTGTTGGCATGTCCACTACCTTGAGGCTCCCACAGAGAGTGGGGCTCACACCTTTCCTATTTAAGACCCGCAGTATACCAAGGGGTGCTCAGATTGTGAGTTTCCTGCCTGCTGGCCCTACCTGGTGCTTCTCACCTGGCTGTTCCAACAGATCAGAGCAGAGCATACCCCAAAGCAGAGGGACATCAGACCTGCTTGAGTACTCCATGGGCAACTTGGGACCAATATGCTTCTCCCTGGCATGGTCAAGGATTGAACTTGGGGGACCTGGGGGCAAGGTTTCAGGCCAGATCTCATACCCCCAGGACTCCATCATGTTGTTCTGGGGCATGGAGGAGGGATTTGTGAACTAATTTCAGGAGATAAGGGAGCCCAAGTGGCAGAACTGAAAGGAGAATGCAGTATGGGTCTGAGCTGCAGTGCACTTGTGGAGCACCCTTCCTCCCACAGGAAAGCCATGCTCTTGGCCTTGGGTGGAAGCCTGGACAGGGAAGTTCCTATCCCACAGAGCCATTGCTGAGGAGCTCAGCTAGTTTGAGCTCCTGCCTATAGCCAGGTGCCTGAAGGAGACCTTAGGACAAGGGGGCAGAGAGAAGAACAAAACCCAGTCCTCACAGCCCCTCCCCCACAGGCAGACTTTCTGTTTTGGTGGGTTCTCTTCAGCCCCAGCAGCCCTGGGGAAGTAGACCCTGGACCCCTGCTGACACAGCTCTTTTGCCTGCCTTTTTGGAGTCTGAAGGTAGGCTCACCTGACTCTGCCCAGCCTTACTCCTCCACCCACCTCGGCTGTGGTGGAGAATGAGGAATCCCCTGGCAGCTCCAGGGCCTTGCTCACCACCTGGGGCATTAGAGTGCTTACCCCCAGGGGCTAGAATCAGTCACAGTCCCAAAAAATAACACTGTAGCTGGCTCTTTCTGGCAAGTGTCACCTATTGGAAAGGAGACAACTTGTATAGCCCATTACAGCTTTTACTGACTATATAGGATGTGGCTGACTCTTACCCACAAGCAACACCTATTGTCTCAGATATTAAACTGAGCACATCAATATAATACACACTGTTAAGCCCACAGGGTTGTGGAAAGAAAGGATTGCAAAAAGACTCCATTATCCCTCATCAACAAGAGACAGGGACTCTGTCCACACACATTGTATACCACAGCTGTAGCCCACATAATTAGCAACTGAGAAAAACACCACAGTAAAGATATCTATAACCAGGGTACCCATCCAGAACAGAGGCCCCCATCAAAGTACCTAAAAGCAGAGCTGAAGGTCCCTACCCAACATATGCTACAGACACACCCTTAACAGTGAACAGGGTGGGAAAAGACCTATCAAAACAAGAAAATCCAAAAGCAAGCAGTGACAGCTGCTCCACATGAGACGGAATCAGAGTAAGAACTCGGAAATATGAAGAATCAGAGTGAAAAGACACCCCAAAAGGGTCACACCAGCTCTCTAGCAGTAGATCCCAACCAAAATTAAAATATTGAAATGACAGATGAAGAATTCCAAATATGGATTGTAAGGAAGCTTAATGAAATTTAGCAGAAAATGGAAAACCAACTCCAAGAAACCAGAAAAAGAATTCAGGAAATGAATGAAAAATTTACTAAGGAGATAGACATATTTAAAAAAGAGGACTGCTGTAAATGAAAAATTCACTTAAGGAAATACAAAACACAGTGGAAAGCTTGAAGAATATACTAGACCAGGCAGAAGAAAGAATTTCAGAGATTGAAGACAACTCTTTTGAATTAACACAAACAAAGAACAAAGAATAGGGAGGAACAAAGCAAGCTTTTGAGAAATATGGGATTATGTAAAGTGGCCAAATATAAGTATTAAAGGCAACCCTGAGGGTGAAGAAAAACCACAGGGTCTGGAAAACCTATTTGAGGGAATTAAGGAAAACATCCCTGGTATTGCTAGAGATTTAGACATTCAGATACAAGAAGCTCAACATACACCTGGGAGATTCACTGCAAAGAGGGAATCCCAAGACATTTAGTTACCAGACTGGCCAAAGTCAACACAAAGGAGGAACTCCTATGACTCATGAGGTCAAAACATCAAGTAAAAAAAGAAAACCCATTAGGCTAGCTGCAGACTTCTCAGCAGAGACCTTATAAGCTGGAAGGGATTGGGGACCCATCTTCAGTTTCCTTGTACAGAACAACTGGCAGCCTAGAATTTTGTATCCTGCAAAATTGAGTTTTATATATGAATGTGAAATAAACACTTTTCCAGACAAGGAAACGCTGAGGGAATTTCTCATGACCAGACTAGCCCTGCAGGAAATACTCAGAACTGCATTATACATGGATCATTACAACAGATAGGCACCAATGTAAAATCATCCAAAAGTTAAAGCCCATAGCTCATATAAAACAATAGCACAAGAGGTAAAATAAGACAATAATGTATTACCTAACATGATGAACAGAAGGCATCCCACATATCAATTCCAACACTCAATGTTAACAATCTGCCCCATTCAAAAGACATACACTTGTTGAATCAGTGAAAAAATACAGCCCAAATATCTGCTGACTCTAGGCAACATATTTAACCCACAAGGACTCACACTCAAGGTGAAGGTATGGAAAAAAATACTTCACAAAAACAGAAACCAAAACACAGCAGGTGTAGCTGTTCTCATATCAGATAAAACTGACTTTAAATCAACAATGATAAAGAAAGACAAAGATGGTCATTATATAACAGTAAAGGGAGCAATTCAACAAGAAGACATAACAATCCTAAATATATATGCACCTAACACAGGAGCTTCCAGACTCATAAAGCAAATTCTACTAGATCTAAGATATAAACTGTAGCAACATAATTGCTGGGGACTTCAACACCACACTGACAGCTGGACAGATAAAGCATAAAATAAATACTGGACTTAAATGGGACTTTAGAACATAATTGACCTTAACAGACACTTACAGAACATTCTACCCCCAAACTACTGAATAAACATTCTTTCATCAGCACATCAGACATTCTCCAAGATTGATCATATATTAGGTCACAAAACATGACTCAACAAATTAAAAAAAATCAAAATCATACCATGTATCTTCTCAGACCAGAGTGGAATAAAACTAGAAATCAATTCTAACAGAAACACTCAATTCTACACAAAATCATTGAAATAAAATAACCTGAATAATTATTGGGTCAATGATGAAATTAAGACAAATCAAGAGATTCCTCAAACTGAATGACACAGGGGACGCCAGCTATCAAAATCTATGAGATTCAGCAAAAGCAGTCCTATGAGGAAAATTCATAGAATTAAAATGCCTACATCAAAAAGACAGAAAAATCACAAATTAATCACCCAACGTCACATCTCAGGGAACTGGAAAAGCATGAGCAAACCAAACCCAAACCCAAAGCCAGCAGAAGAAAAGACATAACAAAGTTCAGAGTAGCACTAAATGAAATGGGAAACATAAAATAGGATCAATGAAACAAAAACTTAGTTCTTTGAAAAGATAAACAAAATTGCTAGATTAACCAGAAATAGGAAAGAAAGGACCCAAATAAGCTTAATCAGAACTGAAAAAGGAGATATTTTAACCGATAACAGAAATATAAAATATCATCTGTGAATACTATGAAAATGTCTACACACATAAATGAGAAAATGTCTACACACATAAATGTAGAGGAAATGGACAAATTTCTGGAAACACAATTTCCCAAGACTCAGTCAGGAAGAAATAGAACTCCTGAACAAACCAATATTGAGCAGCGAGATCAAAGCAGTAATAGAAAATCTCCCAACAACAATGGCCCCAGACCAGATGGATTCACAGCAAAATTCTACCAGACCTACAAAGAAGAGCTGGTACCCCTAACTACAGAAATTATTCCACAACATTGAGAAGGAGAGAATCCCCACAACTAATTCTACAAAGCCAGTATCACCAGTCCCAAAGCCGGGAAGTGACACAACAAAAAATGAAAACTGCATACCAATATCCCTTATGAATATAGATGCAAAAATCCTCAATAAAATATTAGCTAACCGAATTCAACAGCACAGCAAAAAAAAATAATCCACTGTGACCAAGTGGGCTTCATCAAGGGACGCAAAGGTACTTTGATATATGTAAATCAATAAATGTGATCCACCACATAAACTAAAGCAAAAAGAAAGACCATATGATCATCTCAATAGATGCAGAAAAAACATTCAACACAATCCAGCACCCTTTCATGACAAAAACCCTCAACAAACTTGTCATAGAAGGAATGTATCTCAAAATCATAAAGGCCATGTATGACAAACCCATAGGCAACTTCATTTTGAATGGGGAAAAATTGAAAGCATTTTTCCTCAGAATTGAAACAAGACAAGGGTACCCAAGTCAGCACTTCTATTCAACATAGTACTTGAAGTCCTAGGCAAAGCAATCAGACAAAAGAAAGGAAGGGCCGGGCGTGGTGGCTCACGCCTGTAATCCTAGCACTTTGGGAGGCCGAGGCGGGCTGATTGCTCAAGGTCAGGAGTTCGAAACCAGCCTGAGCGAGACCCCGTCTCTACCAAAAATAGAAATAAATTAATTGACCAACTAAAAATATATATACAAAAACTTAGCCGGGCATGGTGGCGCATGCCTGTAGTCCCAGCTACTCAGGAGGCTGAGGCAGTAGGATCGCTGAGCCCCGGAGATTGAGGTTGCTGTGAGCCAGGCTAATGCCACGGCACTCACTCTAGCCTGGGCAACAAAGTGAGACTCTGTCTCAAAAAAAAAAAAAAAAAAAAGAAAGGAAGGGTGTTCAAATGGGGAAAGAGATGGTCAAATTACAGCTTTTCACTGATGATGTGATCTTGTATCTAGATAATCCCAAAGATTCCACCAAGAGACTGGTGGAATTGATAAATAAATTCAGCAAAGTGTCATGTTACATAAACAGTATATGCAATTCAGTAGCATTTCTACATACCAGTAACAGTCAAACTTTTGAGAGTCAAATAAAAAACTCCATATGATTTGCAATTGCTCCAAAGGAAATAAAATACTTAGGAATATACTTAAGAAAGTGAAAGATCTCTACAAGGAAAACTATGAAACACTGAGGAAAGAAATTGTAGATGACACAAATGGAAAATCATATCATGCATATGGATTGATAGAATCAACATTAAAATGCACCTAACGTGATATACAGATTCAACTCAATCCCAATCAAAATACCAACATATTTTATAGATCTAGAGAAAATAATTCTATGCTTCATTTGAAAATAAAATGAGCCTGAATAGCCAAAACAACCTTAAGTGAAAAGAACAAATCTGGAGGCATCACATTACCAGACTTCAAATTATACCACAAGGCAATAGTAACCAAAATAGCATAGTAGTAGTACAAAAATAGAAACATAAACCAATGGAACAGAGAACCAGGTATAAATAGAAATGACAGCGAGCTAGCACCACTTATACATCCTGGATTAAGCTTAAGTCCGTTATCCAAAGTGAGGCGACACAAGATCAGGAAAATGGGCTCCACATGTACTCGCCTTCAAATTGGTACTGACTGATTAAAATTATGGTGCTCAAATGGTGGTAGTGTTCACCAGGGATTTGGTGGTAAGGGGTCGTAGACCCACATTTTAGGGATGTGGTGAGCATTGTGGAGGGGAAGGGCATACCTCTAACCCTTCCTAGGGAGAGGCAAAGATAAAATAGGGGTTAAATTATTCAAGATAGAGAATTATTTTCTCTATCTTTACATGTATTTTAAAAAATTTATAATAAAAGTAAAAATAAAATAAAAAAACAAAAAGATGTGATTTGCTTTCTTGAATTTATATTAACCATATATTCATTCCTAGAACACTAAGCTATTGGTTTGATTGCTATTTGATGACAGTTTCCTTGAAAATAGCTATTAGGATAAAACAAACATTTGCATTCTTAATTCTGTAGAAAGTTACAGTAGTTCCTATTACATTGTCCTATTGTTAGATTGTTTCTTTTACTCACCACAGAGATTGTCCAAACATTTGTCATTATCGGGGCAAGCACTACAAGTAGCTCCTTTCTTATATGGCCATGTTGGATAATTCCCTCTGTAAAGTAGAAGATTGTCCATTAGAATTTTTTTTAATTGCAATATACTACTATATCCTTAACTATATCCAACAGAAATTGGAAGTCCAAAGATTTGGAGGGTTGGAATAGAAGTGAACAAAGGAAAACAGAAATGAAAGGATGCTAGTATTTGCAGAGTTCATTCTATATATCTATGTCTATGAACCCATGTTTTAATCTACATCATGTAATTATAATAGCTCTGGGAGGAATTTTTTACTTCTGTTTTACAGATAAGGAAGCTAAGGATGTAAGATGTTAGTAACATTCCCAAAATCACAATTTATACATGTCAGAGTCAGGAGGAAACCTAGATTCGTCCAAATCCAGGACAATGCTCCCTCCATTTACCCTCTGACCTATATGATTACTGCCATCCAAAAAACTGTCCATCTTAGAAAAGCTGTGATGACTCACATTTACTTTCCTCAGTCTGCCAAGCCTCCTTAGTTTTTACTGGATAGAAGCCATTTGGCTAGGGGGTAATTACCTTTCCAAAAATAAATAAGAGACTTGGGGAAATTTTTAAGTATAATTTGTTTTTACATAAAATATGTAATATGATCAATAGCTAATAATTACTGAGCACTTAATGCACCCTTGAATGGAACAATTTTAACAACCCTATGAAGATGGTACTATTGTTTATTTATCCCCATTATATAGCTAGATGTTGAAGCACAGAGTACAAGTAATTGACCAAAATCACAGACTGGAAAGTGAAATACTACTTTATTTCACATAACACGTATATCCATTTTATATTCCCATAAATACCTCAGAGCAGTAATGGTGAGAGGGTGTACATTTTATCTCAATGAAACTGACATTGCACTAGTCTTTTTGCACTAATTTATTTGAACTCTACTTTTGGAAGTTCTTTTTTGTATCATGGTAACTTTTGGCAGTCTGGTTAAGCTGATGAACTAATTCTTTCTGGATGTAGTTCATTTTTAAATGCATAGTATAAAATACATAGGATTATAAAGGAAACCAGAAAGTTATCAAAATGTTTTTAAAAAGATTTGTAATATAGTAATAGGTGTTTCTCTATTAAATATTAGATAAGATCTAGCCAGGGACTATTAATTTCAAAGTAGTAATTCAGAATAACAGTTATTGCTATTAATAATATGGCCATGGAGTATTGTCTTCACAATGAAAGGAAATGTTATTTTTAGTAGAGGTTAGTGAAAATAAAGGTAGAACTTTTTTTCTAATCCCAGTTCATGGCTCCCTCTTCCCAATACTATACAATTACCTCCAAAGTTAAGAACTCTCCTAATAGAGGCACAATTTTATAATAAAACCTCATTTTCAACCCAAAATATATGTTCTAATCTCATTTAGTTCCAAGTTAATTTAAGTTTCTTCAGAAAATTAAATTATCCTACGCTTACAAAAATAAATAAATAAGAGACATGAGGAAATTTTTAAAGTACAATTTATTTTCACATAAAGGATTTGAGATGACTGATACCTAATAATTACTGAGCATTTGGAAAAAGTCAATGGTAATATGGTAGAATTTTTTTTAGCAATTATAAAAGATGTTCAAAATAGGCATTAATCATTGGAATATCTTTCATTGTTAAAAAGCACAATACTCATTAAGTTGTTGAAGTTCTAGAATAGTTTTAACAAAATCATTTGTGATACCTTCATTCTTTAATTGTGCATTTCAAACTGTAAAGGGGGAGGGGAATTCCCTCTTAAAATAAAGCTAAGACCAGGTGTGGTGGCTCATGCCTATAATTCTAGCACTCTGGGAGGCCAAGGCAGTAGGATCACTTGAGCTCCAGAGTTCAAGACCAGCCTGAGCAAGAGTGAGACCTGGTGTCTACTAAAAATAGAAAAAAATTAGCTAGGCATGGTGACATGCCTGTAGACTTGGCAGGCTGAGGCACGAGGATCACTTGAGCTGAGGAGTTTGAGATTATGATGAGCTATGATGATGCCACTGCACTCAAGCCAAGGCAACAGAGCAAGACTCAGTCTCAAAAAAACAAACCAAACCAAACAAAAACTAAAAAAAAAAGCAATTGTCAGTTCTAAGGAAATGGTAAAATTTCATCTTGGGAAAAACATGCTACTGGGAAAGCCTGGATTTGTCTAGATGGGAGTAATTAACATAAAGTGACTTAAAGTATTCTGCCCAATAAAGCAGAAGGAAGTTTTAGAATTTCTCTTTGTAGAAATAAGAAGGTTGGGACCGTGGGACCCAGGTGAAGAGAGAAGACAGATTTTTAAAGAAAAAGATAAATATAGAATAAGGCTCCCAGGGCAGTGGTAGCCAAAGCACACCAGGTATTGTTCTTATTATCTTGTAGTCAATGTTATTTCTTCTTCCATGATATAATCCTCTCCTCCACCAATCCAGCCTGAGTAAAGATCTGTTACCATAGCCTTGCTTAGTGATGCACAGGGAAATGACAGAGAGTTATAAGCATCTGGAGAATTAAGCATCCCAGATCCCATTTCGGAGGTATTTGTGAAATATTGGGAAGGATACTAGACTTGTTATAATTATGTGAAATGGGGACCTGTGACTTTTTCTTTGTATTTAGAAGGAAAAAAAACACTTCAGAAGGCAGAAGAAGTGAGGACATTCCTAACTGGTCTCTGTGCTTTCCCTCTTATGCCCTGCCAATCCATTCTCCATACAAACTGATCTCCACATGTAAAGCAGTCTGATCGCTCTCCTGCTTAAAATAGTTGGATGGCTTCTTGTGATTTGAATAAAGTTAAACTTTGCCACGATCTAAAAGTTCCTCTGCATCTGTACTGCTGCCTCTCTTCCCCTCGTCCTTTTCATGCCATTCAATGGTCCAAATACTCTGGGTCCTCTCCATTCTTTAAATTTGCCAAACTTCTCTCCACCATACTTTTGCAGTTGTTTTCTCCACAGACAGCTGTTCTGGAAGTTCTTCTCATGTCTGGTTTATTCTTATTCTTCATACCTAAACTTAAATATATCACAGAAAGCCCTTCCCTGATCATTTTATTTTAACTAGGGGTCTTGCCTATTGATAGTTTCTATTACAATGTTATTTATATTTTTTTCATTGCCCATATCATAATGCAGTCATTTTATTTGTATTTTTATTATCTGTCTGCCCCATAAGTATACTTTCATAAGGGGAGAGACTATGTGTGGCTTGCTCTCCTTTGAAACTCAGTAAACAAATATTTGTTGAATAAATGAATGTATGAAGTTAATCTTATAGAAGCATTATAACTTTGTTTCTAAGTTTTACAATCTAATATTGTTATAGCTCTGAAAGTAAGTAAAGTGAGTCTGAACCAGGAAAACTCACATTTGTACTTTATTAATATACATATTAATATAATGAATACTTATAAAACAATCACCATTGCCAGGTATTATATGTATTCAGTGTTTTACATAGCCTTCTCATGTCATTTTTATAGCTAGTCTAAGTGGTAGGTATCATTATTATCTTGATCTTTTGGAGATGAAACTGAGATTCATAGAGTTAACTAACTTGTCCAAAGCCACACAGTAAGTTAACTATTAAAAATGTTACATGAAAAGTTAGCACTGATTGAATTATGGTTTTGTCTAGTTTCCCTGGGTTTGCTTTACTTTCTGACTTTGGGATTTAAGTCAAAGCTGTCACCTTCTGAATGACATTGTCTTTAGTCCTCCCTCTCCTACCTATACTCAATCAGAATATCAAACATCTCTTCTGAAGAAATACTTCAGGGAAAGAGAGATGGGTTTCTTCCAACCAATCTTCAGGAATTGAAACAAAATTCAAAGGCAATAAATTAAAGAAAAAATTAGTTTTTTTAACACACACACACACACACACACACAAATATAATATAAAACCAGCCATAGAAGGAAGCTGGCTTCAGTCCCTTCCACAGGAAACAAAAACCAAATATACAGTGCTGATATTATCATGAAAGATATCCAGAATTCAAATAGGAAGATGAGACAGTTCTCAAGGCCACAGAGATGAAAATGTTCTGAGTAGATAGTACATGAATCAGACTTCCACATCCATGATGCCCCCCCTACACACACACATTCTGCCCAACATAAAGCACATAGAAAAATTTCCCCCAACTCACTGTTTCTACTCTGAGAAAGGTTAAATCAAGGGGACAACAAGCTTCCCCACCATTTTGGGTTCCCTGGCAGACGATCTCTCCCACCTTAACTCATGGGAATCATCGCAAGTACCTAAGGGAGAAGTATCCCTGAGGACAGGCAGAGACAAAGTGGGGAGGGATCAACAACCCCAGTCCTGGAAACTCTGCTTTGTAACCCAGCCAAAGGAGATGCTTAATCAGAGTGGCTGTTCAGTAGCACCATGCTGTAGGAGATTTGTCTCACAGGTCCCCAGGGAAAAAACCCCTAGCTAGCCTTCTCACACTGCCAGGAAATCCCCTTTGGGACCTCTATCCTTTGAGAAGGGCATTGCTCTGACAATGAACCTGAGCTTAAGGTGTCAACTGGAGCCAAAAAGGAGGCAACGACCTAGCAGTAAAGAACCTCTGGGCAAATATAATCAGCAAAACCCCTAACAAGCTAGCTGTGCATGGTTTTTCATGTCCATAATCCCAGCATTTGGGGAAGCTGATGCAGAAGGATTACTTGGGACCAGGAGTTTGAAACCAGCCTGGTCAATATAGGGAGACCCCGTCTCAAAAAACTGAAACCAAAAACAAGCCAGACAGAGAAGACTGGGATAAATAATCCTTCAATGCAAATATGTAGATGTATATTTATAAGAAAAAATTGCAAACAGGGAGTCATGACCTCCACAAACAAAGCAAGGAATCAGTAAGTGAGCCTAAGGAAACGGTGATAAGTGAGTTCTCTGACCAAGAATTCAAAACACTAGTTTTAAGAAAACTCAGTGACCTCCAAGCTAAGAGAAAAGCAATTCAAAAATCCATCAGAGAAATTTAACAAAGAGATTGAAATAATAATTAAAAGCAACAGAAATATTAAAACTAATAAATATGTTTGCTCAACTGAAAAATTCATTAGAGGCTCTCAAACAGCAGAATGGATCAAGTAGAGGAAAGGAGGAGTGAACCTGAAGACAGACTATTTGAAAATACACAGAGGGAGAAAAGAAAAGATTGAAAAGCAATGAAGATTGCACACAAGATATAGAAAATTACCTCAAAAGACCAAATCTACGAAAGAGGGAGTTGAGCAAGAGTAGGGGGTAGAAATCTTCTTCAAAGAAATAATAGAAAACTTCCCAAAACTTGAGAAATATCTAAATATTCAGGTATAGGAAGAACAGAGAACACCAAACAGATTTGACCCAAATAAGACTATTCCAAGGCATATAATAATCAAAAACAAAGATTAAGGACAAAGGGAATCCTGAAAACAGCAAGAGAAAAGAAGCAAACAACATATAAAGAAGCTCCAATTCATCTGGCAACACACTTTTCAACTATATAAACCAGGAGGGAATGGAACGACATTTTCAAGTATTGCAAGAAAAAACTGTCATCCAAGAAAACTGAATCCTCCAAAATGATTCTTCAGATATGAAGAAGAGATAAAGTCTTTTCCAGACAAACAAAAGTTGAGAGAATTCACCACCACGCTACCAGACTTGTCTTAAAAAATACTAAAGTGAGTTCTTCAATCTGAAAGAGAAAAAAACACTAACATGCAAAACAAAATAAAACCAAACCCCAAACATTTAAAGGTATAAAATTCGCTGGTAAAATGAAGTACATAGACAAACCAAGAATACTTTAATTCTGTAATTGTGATATTTATGGTATAAAGTACACTCATAACTCTAGTATGAAACCCAAAGGACAAATCTAATAGAAACAATAAGCTATAGCAATCTGTTAATAGGTAGATAATATAAAAATATGTAAATTGAGACAACTAAAAAATGTTGAGAGATGCAGTTAAAGTGTTGAAGATTTTTTCCCATTTTTTCTTTGTTTTTATTCTTTGTAATCATCTCTTTAAACTTAGATATAACTTAGATTAGTTTTTATATCTATAAGATGATTTTTATAAGCATGTTACTAACCACAATGCAAAAACCTGTAATAGGTTCGTTCATGATAGATAAAGCAATAGGTTAAAACATACTACCAGAGAAAATCACTTGACCACAAAGGCAGATAGTAAGAAACAAATGAAGGAAGAAATGAGTTATGAAATAGCAAGCAAACAAAATGGCAGTAAGTCCTTACTTATCAAAAATAACATTGAATAGAAATGGACTCAATTCTCCAATTAAATGTCACAGAGTGGCTGAAGGGGTAAAGAAACAAGGTCCAGCAATATACCAAATATGAGAAATATGCTTTACCCATAAAGGTACACATTGACTGAAAGTAAAGGGGTGGAAAAACATATGCCATGCAACTGGAAATGAAAAAAGAGCAGGAGTAGTTATACTTCGATAAAATAGACTACAAATCGAAGACTTTTGGGTCAATTCAGAAGAAGATACAATGGTTTTATGCACCCCTCACTGGAGATATAAAACAAGCATTAGTAGATCTAAAGGGAGAGATAGACTATAATACAATAATGAAGGGGAATTTAACACCCTTCTCAGTAATGGACAGAAGGTATGGACAGGAAATCAACAAAGAAATATCAATATTAAATTGCACACTAGACATAATAGGCCTAACTGACATTTACAGAATATTTCACCCAAATGTTACAGAATACACATTCATTTAATCAGTATATAAAATATTCTTCAGAATAGACCATATGTTAGGTCACAAAGCAAGTCTGAACAAGTTTTTAAAAAGTAGAAATCATATCAACTATCTTTTCTGACCACAATGGAATAAAACTAGAAATCATTAACAAGAGGAATCTCAGAAAGCTTTTGCACAGCAAAGAAAATCATAAAATGCAGAGACAATCCATAGAATGGGAAAAAATATTTGTAAACTAACCATTTGACAAGTGATTAATAACCAGAATATATAAGGAGTTCAAACAATTTAATAACAGAAAACCAGATAATCCAATTAAAAGTGGGCAAAAGATCTGAACAAACATTTCTCCAAAGAATACATACAAATGGCCAACAGGTATATGAAAAAATGTTCAACATCACTAATTATCAGAGAAGTGCAAATCAAAACTACAATGAGATATCATCTTACTCCAGTTAAAATAGCTTTTATCAAAAAGAGAATTATGCATGCTGGTAAGAATGTGGAGAAAGGGAGAATTCTTATACATTGCTGGTAGGAATTTAAATTACTACAGCCACTATGGAGAACATTATGGAGTTTCCTCAAAAAACTAAAAATAGAACTACCATGTGATCCAACAATTACTACGTATATATACAAAAGAAAGGAAATCCATATATTAAAAAGACATCTGCACTCCCATGTTTATTGCAGCACTATCCACAATAGCTAAAATGTGGAATCAACCTAAGTGCCCATCAATAGATGAATGGATAAAGAAAATGTGGTACATATACACAATTTCCATTATTATTCATCCATAAAAATGAATAAAATCCTGTCATCAGCACAACATGAATGGAACTGGAGGCCATTATATTAAGTGAAATAAGCCTCACACAGAAAGACAAATATCATATGTTTTCATTTATATATGGGAGCTAAAACAGTGGATCTAAGAAAAACAGAGTAGATTGGTGGTTACCAGAGGCCGAGAAGGGAAAATGAAGAGAGATATAAAGAGCAGTTGATTAATGGGTACAAATGGACAGTTTGATAAAAGAAACAAGACGCACCATTAAATAGATCAGTAGGGTAACTATAGTTTACAATAATCTATCATACATTTCAAAATAGAAGAGAATTTCAATGATTTTAGCATAAAGACAAATATTTAAGGTGATGAATATTCCAAGTACACTAATTTGACCTTTACAAATTTTATGAATGTGTTAAATTATCACATGTATCTTGAAACTGTATACATCAATTATGCATCAATTAAAAAATAAAAAAATTTAAAAAATAAAAATGGGCAGAACACATTTACCAAAGGAATGTGAACAGCCAGATATATGAAGAAATTTATAACCACTAGTAATTGAAGAGATACAAAAGAAAATAAATGAATTACCACTTTCTATTAAATTAAAAAATACTAAGAATTTATAATACCCTGTACTGATGAAGAAGTATAAATAGTGGAGTATAATTTAACAACATGTATTTTTTTAAAAAATACAAAAATGATCACACTCTTTATGTACTAGTATCATTTCTAGGAATTATAGGAAAATAGAAGTCACTCAAGATTTATATACAAGGTTGTTCATTACATATTAAAAGAAAATAACATGGAATGATCTAAATTATTAGGATGAATTTAGGATCAACTGTTTGTTACTATTAGAGTACAGACTCTGAAGTGAGATTGCCAAATCAAAGTGCAGCTATGACACTCCCTGCTACGGGAACTTGGGCAGGTTACTCACTCCAAAAGTGTGCCTCACTTTTCTCATTTGCAAAACAAGGATAATAATAGGAATTGTAAACTTTTTTATGGAGATTAAATAAATTAATATAACTGAAGCACTTAAACAGTGCTTGGCACATTGTAAGTATTATACAATAATTATCTGTCATTGTTTTTATAATTATTAAAATCATGTTTAAAATTTTAATAAAGTAAAAAATGTTCATGGTATAATTTTAGTCAAAAAATAGAAAATGTGTATTTCCAGAATGTGTATTTCCAGAATGATTGCAGTTGTCTAAGTATGTGCATGACACACAGCACATATATACAAGTTGAAAGAAAGTGGGAGGGGGGATCATGTATCTTCCCTATTTCCCAAAGGCAGAAAGCTGTATGCATTTTAACAACAGAACTGTCAAAAGTAAATAAGTTACATAAAGTGATAAATGCAATTTGTAGATCTTTTTGTTTTGAAAGTTGTGCAAACATTGCCAAGTTTTTAATAAACCAGTCAATATAAGGTAACATCAGTTCTCTCATTTTGTGCTGTTACTCCCCAATCAAATTAATTTAAATTCCTAACAAACATTTAAGTCTTGCTATTTTTTTTTCCCACACAGGGTCTCACTCTGTCACCCAGGCTAGAGTGCAATGGCATCATCATAGCTCACCACAACCTCAAACTCAAACTCCTGGGCTCAAGTGATCCTCCTGAGTATCCAGGACTATAGGTATGTGCCACCATGCCCAGCTTTCTATTTTTTGTAGAGATGGGGTCTTGCTCTTCCTCAGGCTGGTCTTGAGTTTCTGGCCTTAAGCAATCCTCTCACCTTGGCCTCCCAAAGTGCTAGGATCACAGGCAGGAGCCACCTTGCCCGGCCAATCTTGCTAGTCTTAAAATGTGTATTTATGTAGTATATATAAAGAGTATATACACACATACACACAGAAAAATGTACCAGAATGTTAATAAAGTAGATCTCTGGACAGAGGAATTAAGGGTTATATTAATTTTCTTTATATTTTATTATCCATATTTTCTATAATGAAGATAAATGCTTTTAAAATATAATTATTTTAAGAAAGAGATTGATTCAGGCACTTACGCTGGTCCATAGTTGCATATAAAATGTGCTGCATTGGAAAGACTTATGCCAGACACCCCAGGGCAAAATTGTACTGCACAGCCAACTTTGTAACTATTTGCCCAAACAATCTGAAAGGAAATAAAGATTTTTAACAGAAAGAAAAACAATAAAATGAACATTTGGATATGATTAGCTTTCATAAACATGGTGAGGTATATTCACTCCAGCTAGAACACTTATAACCAGGAAAGTTTTAGGTGCTCAGAAGTTAGGTGGAAACAAGACTTGCTATTACAATTATTGGGGTGTGTATATCTGTGTGTGTGGTATGTGTGAAATAAACATATAAATAGTAACTAAGCTAATTTTTGAAAGCACAATGAAGAAATTGAGTACTGCAATAGAGAGTGACCAGTAGGGGTGCTGATTTAACTGGATGTTTAGTGAAGACATCTCTGAAGAGGAAGCATTTAAACTGAGACTTGAACAATGAGGATGTAGCACTTAGGATAAACATTCAGGAGACTTAATGATAGAGGAAGAGCCTTCCATGCAGAGGTAACACCATGGGAAGGCCTTGTCTTAGTCCATTTTTGTATTGCTATAAAGGAATACCTGAGGCTAATTTATAAAGAAACTAGGTTTATTTGGCTCACAGTTCTGCTGGTTGCACAGCAGCTTGGAAACAGCATCTGCTTCTGGTGGGCACCTCAGACTGCTTCCACTCATGGCAGTAAGTATGCAGAGATCACATGGCAAGAGAAAGGAGGCCACAGTGAGTCAAGGGAGGTGCCAGACTTTTTAACAATCAGCATTAACAGGAACTAATAGAGTGAGAACTCGCTGGTTACTGTGAGGACTGCACCAAGCCTTTAATGAAGGATCTGCCCCCATGACCCAAACACCTCTCATTAGTCCCTACTTCCAACACTGGGGTTGAAGGAGCTCAGGAAATTTCACCTTAAAATATAACTCTTTGGTATAAAGAATATTTTTTTTTTATATTTCTTCAGACAGAGTCTTGCTCTGTCACCCAGTCTAGAGTGCTGTGGCATCAGCCCAGCTCACAGCAACTTCAAACTCCTGGGCTCAAGTCATCCTCTTGCCTCAGCTTCTCAAGTAGTTGGGACTACAGGTATATACCATCACAATCAGCTATTTTATTTTCTATTTTTAGTGCAGATGGGGGTCACTCTCTTTCTCAGACTGGTCTTAAATCCCTGACTCAAGTGATCCTCCCACCTTTGCCTCCCAGAGTGCTAGGACTACAGGCATGAGCCCCCTGGCCCAGCACACAGCATATGTTTAATCAAAGGCCATTCAAGATCACAAAGCATTGGAAGAGGCTTTTCCTGTATCTGCATAAACTGGACTGACCTGATCAAAAGAGCAAAGTGGGCAACTGACTTCCTTTCCTCCTCCCTGTTATCTCAATATGTTGCAGGAAGGAGGATCAAGAATGCAACCAGATCTGGCCCAAATCATTGACTATCATACCTCCCAGGTTAATTTGCTCAGGTTAATGTAATTTGCAAAGAGACTCATTTATAAGTCAATCCGTTTCCCTCATTCATTTATCCTCCCTAGCACCATTTGTTGCCCCTAAATAGAATTATCTGTGCTCCTCATCTCCACCCCTCCCCTCTAATAGGACAGATATAAAAATATCTGAACTTTATTGGGATATTGAGTAATCACTCTGATTCTCCCCATGAGTGTGGTAAATAAACCTTTCTCTTATTAATCTACCTTAATTATGAGTTGATCCTTCATGGGAAAGGGCAAGTTTCCCCTCACCCCTAACAGGGATCAGATTTCAACATGAGATTTGGAGAGGTCAAACAAACCTAACTATGGCAGGCTCATTTGCTTGTCAGGAAGAAGGCAAGTAGAGCCAGGGTCTGATGGGGAGGGGACAGTCATAGACAATGCAGTCAGAGGCAGAGGAACAGATTATGAGATTCCTGAAGGTGAATGATATGCTTTTTCATGTCTTAGAGCACTTCAGTGGTTATGAAGTAAACAGACTGAGAAGAGTAAGGGAAAAAAGAGGCTGTTTTGGAGGCTATTTCAGCGGGGCAAGAATGAGAAGATGATGACTCATACTTGGATGAAGTCAGTGAAATTCCTGAGAATTGATTAGGTTTGTGGCTCAGCTTAGAGATAAAGCTAAAAGGATGTTGTTTTGGGTGTGGCGTAAGAGGGAAAGAGAAAAATAAAGTTTCTGTTTGGGGTCTGAGCAACATTTCCTAAGATGGAGAAAACTAGGGAAGAAGGAGGGTGCATGGGAGCATGGGCAAGGGGTTCTGCTCAGAACATGTGGATTTTGAGATGCCAGTTAGACTTGGCTGCTGCAGTTCAGAGGACAAGGTAAGGCTAGAGATGCAAATCTGGAAGACGTGGGACTAGATGAGATCGCACATGCCAAGACACTAGATAGAAAAGTAAATGAGAACCTGGGATAAAGAAAACAAACACGAGGCCCAGCGCGGTGGCTCACACCTGTAATCCTAGCACTCTGGGAGGCCAAGGTAGGCGGACTGCTCGAGGTAAGGAGTTCGAAACCAGCCTGAGCAAGAGCGAGACCCCATCTATACTATAAATGGAAAGAAATTCATTGGCCAACTAATATATATAGTAAAAATTAGACAGGCATGGTGGTACATGCCTGTGGTCCCAGCTACTCAAGAGGCTGAGGCAGCAGGATTGCTTGAGCCCAGGCGTTTGAGGTTGCTGTGAGCTAGGCTGACATCACGGCACTCACTGTAGCCTAGGCAACAAAGCAAGATTCTGTCTAAAACAACAACAACAACAACAACAACAACAACAAAAAACCCCAAGAAAACAGCCAGCAAAGCAGACTGAGAAAGAGCGGTCAGTGGCACAGGAGGGAAACGAAGAACAGAGCTGGCTTCGTGGGAGTGGCCTGTGCTGTCACACTGGATCTGTTGCCCAAAAGAGCTCCATTCTTGGTTTAAATTAATGCTGTTGTATATTTTAGTACTGTTAGTGATACTTTTTCCCTTGCTTTTTGAACAACAGATCCTACATTTTTCACTGGGCTCCACAAATTGTATAGCCCCATCTTGACAAGAATGTGTGGTGTCATAAAAGCCTAAAGAAAGTATTTAAAGCTGAACACAAGTCAGCAATCAGAAGCACTCCTTTTTTACAGCAATAACAAATTACATTTTAAATTAGTTTTACTCATAAGTTTTTGAGCAACTTTGTGAAAGAATTGTGCCAAATATGGGGATCACAAAAGGTGAATGAACTGCGAACAGTGGACGCCTTCACAAAAATGTAGAGAAAAGCAGTCGCAAAACCATTAGGCAAGGGTTTTGACCATTGTGAAGGGGAAGTGGGGGGTGCTAAGGGTGTGTATAGCATAGGGCCCTTCTGTGGGAAAGTGACATGAGGTAGAGCTGGGATGAACTACTCAGAGCCATGAGAAGTCTTCCAACAGTTTTCCACCTAACGTGGGAAAGATTTATTTGTAGGACAGAAACAAAACCAGTGTGGCTGCAGAAAAAGAGCAAATTTACTTAAACAACTCCCTGCTGAGAGAGTATAGAGTGAGGGGAGAAGGGAGATGAGAAGGAAGTCTTAACTTCTCCAAGGTTTAAAGCTGGGGCAGGAGGTGGGGGAATAGCTAGGGAGGTGTTAAGGTAGAGCATGTCAGGTGGGGGTGCTGCTGCTCTTTGCAGGCTGCCTCATCCTTGGTTTGGCAACTGGGGAGGGTGCCCTTCTTTGGCAAAAGACAGCCCACCTTCCTACTCTGTGATCTAAATGGGGTGTTCCCCAGAAACCTTTCTTTATACCCAGGAATACCTGCAGGGGACTCCAGCCTAGACAAATAATGAAGTGGCAGAGGCCTCTATCTCTAGAGAGCCTGGCTTTATGGGGGCTGTTGATCCTCAGGTTTGATCCTTGTATGTGAATATTTACTTTCCAGTTGTTTTTGTTTTATTTTAAAAATGTCTTAATTTTTGTTCACAGATCTCAAAGTGCTTTTACTCAGGTGCTTTGTTTAAAATGCAGATTTCTGGGCCCATCTCAGACCTACTGAATGAGAGTCACTGGAATTGTCTCTGGAATCTGTATTTTAACAACTTTCTCAGGTGATTCTTATACAAGCCAACTGCATTCAGTGTTGTCTCTATTCCGTTTACTATTGGCTTAAGCTCATTTTATATTTTTATCCTTTGTGAATACTTTCTTCTATAGTATTGTATCTTCAGTATTCTTAATCCTTGGGTCCTTCTTCCACTTTAATGTTTTCCAAAAGTTTGCAAATATTAGTTATCATTCATTCTGTGTTTTAATTAGTCTAATTTTTAAAAAGTTAGGTTTATTAGGGTACAATTAACATACAGTAAAATTCATTCTTTTAGGTGTATGTCTATGAATTTTGACAAAAGCATACAAATGTGTAGCCACTACCATATTCAAGATATAGAACATTTCTATCACCCCTGAAAATTCCCTTGTGGCCATCTTTGTGGTTAACCTCCAACCCCAGACCCATCCCTAGCAATCACTAATCTGTTTTCAGTTCGTATAGTTTTGCCTTTTCCAGAATATCATACAAATGGAATCAGTTTACATATAGCTTTTTGAATCTAGCTTCTTTCACTTAGCATAAGCTTTTGATATCATTTCATATTATAGTATACATTAGTAATTACTATAGTGTAGTAATATTTATCATGTGGATGTACTACATGCACATGTACTCAATATCTAGCCAAGTGGTCTCTTTTTAAAAGCTTTATGGACATTTTGGCTCTTGGTTAAACATGTGGGTTCTGGAGCTACAAAGCCTGAGTTCATATTCAGCTTTCCCACTTACTGTGTGACCTTGGCCTAATCTATTAATTGAGGATAACAACAATACCAACTCCATAGGCTTATTTCATAGTTTTAAATGAGCTTCTAGAACACACCAAGCACTATGCAGTGCAGGTGTAGTGTTAAGCACTTCACATGCAATATCATGTTTAATCCTCATAACAACTCAATAAATAGGTGCTCTTGCTCCTATTTTTATAGATGAGAGATTGGGAATTGGCCAATTCTGTCTGGCCACAAAGTACTGTGAGGACAGTCTATGCCATTAGCAAGAGGCTTTCAAATAATTTTCTCTTTTAGCAAGTCCTCCAGAATGAGAAACCACTCTCTATACCTTTCTAACAAAAGCACTGCATCTGGGAAACCCAGAGCGGAGGGACATGGCTCCCGCTGTTAACCTCTAGGCTAACAGCTCCTTCCCACCATCTTCTTTCAATTCTCATTATGAATCCATTTGGTTCATTATTAGGAGTATGGTAACATTGTCACATATATGCAACTTGCTAGAGAAACTGGGAAACACATCACATTTCCATTGGCTGTATGAGAATGTAAAAATAAAAATTTCAAGAGGGTAGAGTTGGAGAGAGGAGATAAAAACTAAAATAAGATCAATAATGCCATCTAGTGGGAAGCTCTAGCACTATCAAACCCAAGTAATCTGTTACCTCAACCAGATACTTTAATCAAGCTATTCCCAAACTTTACAAAGCTGAATTCTCATCAACAGAATATCTAATTAGATTAATCTTCCGTATTAATATACCAGAATTCTTCCTAAATGCCTGTCTGTCTCCAGTGAAGACAAAGCTAAAGTATTGAATTAACACATCAAGAAATATCATACCTGCTAGGAGATAATGGATCTGAATGTTTTCTTTATTCTGTACAATTGCCCATCATCAGCCAAAATCTGAAAATAGCTTGATTTTTCAATAAAAAATAAGGATAAGTAGAAGGTTATAATATCCACATAGGATCCACATATCCAGCATGAATTTAAAACTTACTAGCAACTGAGTATTCTTGAATCCCCTAGCAAGATTTCTTTGTAAGAATGAAAACAGAGAGTCTTTAACCTACCTATCAGATCTTTCTTCCATTATGGTTGCTAGAAAACTAGCTCATCAAAGGAATCTAACCTTTGTTCAATGCCTACTGAATACTAGTACTTTATTAGATAATTTACATGCATTTTATTATCTAAGCCTTACAACATATTTGGTATCTGAACTCTTTCTTTCTCTTACTAGCTAAATAACATTGGGGAAACAACTTCCTAACCTCTCTGAGCCTGTTTATTCATCTGTGGTTGTTAGCACCTCCCTTATAGATTTGTGGTGAGAACTGAGTGAAGTCTTCAACATAGAGAGCTAAATGCCATGTTCATTTAAAAGGTGGATGCTGCTGCTGTTTCCAGACTCGGGGAGTTTCTGGACATTTTCTCCATGATGAAAGATCCTCTCTTGAAGTGGGAGTAGAACCTAGTGGTTTCTTACAGAGAACAAGTTAGGATCACTCAAGTTGAGTTTTGATACCTGTATGCATGGAGCTGGATTTTAGAAAGTGAGTTTTCTCATGTTCAACATATTAGACCTCCTTTTTTCCCCTGGATATAAGGGATTTTCCAAGTAAGCTCAGTTAATTTAGGGAGGGCTATCTGTGAAATCTTGGGCACATATAATATAAACTCTAGTTTTCTCCTTTTGTTTTAACTCCCCGGAATCATGAACATGGAGAGTCTTAACCTGTATATATGAGCATGGTTTAGGAGTCTGTTGTCAATTTAACAGTCTTCTGACCTCTATATATTTGGCATGCTGAGCTATTTGCTATTCATCTGAGGTACCAGGCTCATTCATACATATTGTATACTTTCTACATCTTGCTAGTTTTACTTGGAAATATCTTCCCTTTCTTTTTCATTTGACAAACTCTCACCTTTCTCAAACAAACTCTCAACTTTCAAGCACAAATTCAGCTGTCTTCTGCTGTGTGAACCCTTTTAACTTCCCTTTAACTAGATAAATTGCTCTGTCCTCTTTGCTCACATGGCACTTTTTCAGCATCTCTAAATTGTACCAACCATGCACTGTAATACATCCATATACACATATGTCTCTCTTAAAAGGTCAATTCCAGAAGGCCAGGAACCATTCCTAGCTGAATCCCTTCTTCCCTGTCTCATCCTCTATTTCTCCTCACTCTCACTTCTCTGAGATTATACCCTAATAAAGTGGCAGTTCATAAACTATCATCTCAGGGTCTGTTTTCCAAGGAATCTGGACTAAGATATTATTAGTATCTGGCACAGGATAGAAGCTTAAACACTAAATAAATGGAAAGTAGGCACCTTCAAACTGATAATTATTTCTGGATATTTAAACACCACTGTGCAAAATGGTACAAAGTTCCCCTTGTAGGCAATCTAGATTTAGCTTTCTTACTCCCTAGGTCCTGTTGGAAATTAAGGGACTTTACTTTCCAGTCAAATTTATTTGCAGATATAAACCAAAATTGTTGGTTTATGTAATAAATTCAGGAGAAACTATTTCTATAATATTTCCAAGAAAGAGACCAATGCTACAGATGATTTGATAGTCCCTCTTGCTTACAATAATTTTGAGGTGAAAATTTTTTACTAAAATCAATCCTTCCTCTCTGTTCATAATAATCCCTATAACTCTGCAAAACTTAAAACACCACCAATGAGATCAGAGGCTTTAGAAGGCTGAGCAGAAGTTTTTCTAACAACATGTTGCTCTTTAAGACCACCTAATATTTCAACCTTGTTAGAAATGGTTTTCTAACCTCAACCTTCGTATCTCATTTCAGCAGACTTTTGTGCAGAAAACCAGTCGAATACAGGCCAAATACCTTTAGTTCTTGGTTTGATAAGGACTGGCAGGAAATAAAAGTAAATAAACAAAATGTGGACAAGATAGGAAGTCAGCATCTGAAGACCTGAAGACGACTACAGAAGCTGCTACTCAGGATTTGCTTATATCATGTCATAAACCTGAGCTAGAATTGGGGAGCCAAAATGAACTTCAGTAAAAACATCTCAATGGGAGGCTCTGAATGTGGCCATGGGGACTAATAATGTGGATTTTGGGGACAGGACAGTTTATATAACTTTACATTTCAGCTTCTCCATTGGGCCTAGAACTGAAGTTTTTTTCCCTTCTTGTGTGGCACCAGTGCCTGGCACACAGATTTTCAGTTGATGTTTAAAAGAATCAGAATAAGAATTGATGCCTCTCAAAGACTTATTTTCCCCAATTTTATAGTTCCAAGATGACAGCCTCAAATTTAATTTGGAGCTTATGCCAGCTGGAATCTAAAAATCTATTCATTTATAAAGTTCTGTGATTACTCATAAATGGAATAAAGCCCCACAAGAGAATAGGTGTTATCAAAGTTATTCAAAGCTTGTTCATACTGGTAGGCCTCACATATTTCCTCTTATGTGTTTAGTTCCCATAACTAAACTCTTCAAGCACTATTTTCTCACTCATTGGAAACTGTTCCATATATTATTTTTAAAGTAAGCCCATAATCCCTACTCCCTTATATTTACAGGTACACTAGCTTACTATATATTTTCTTAACCCCAGATTCCAATTTTCTCCTCACCCTTGAAAAGATAGTTTCAAGAAAATACAGGGCAGATATGTACCTGAGTGTAATGGCCACAGACGTTATTGCATTTCCGAGTCTTGAAGTCATAGTTCCGGACTTCATCAAACCAGTTTTTGATGGCTGAAGACACAGAAAAGATGGATAGAGAGCCAGTCCAGAGGTTTTCTCCCAGTGAAGTAAATTTTGGGTGCAGCTTGTAGGGTGGCTTCAGCTGTCCATTATGTGCAAACTGACAATGTTTTGCCCATGCTTTTGCAATCTGTGCTAGTGCTGGGTCCCAAGTCTGCAAAAATAAATACTAAATGATGAGGGAGGAGCTCAAGAATGAAACCTATTACTCAAAATGTAACTAGGGTGAGCAGAGTATGAATTTGAATGGGAAATGAGGTGTGATGACAAGTATACGGGTCCTCTATAAATATGGTCTTCAAGCATTGACTAGGGCCAGAAAAAAACATGATAATTTAGTTTCCTGGAATTTAGAATCTAGGTGAGAGAAATAGATCAACAGTTCACTGAAGGACAATTATAGTGTGTGCAAAGTAGTATGTGCTATGTTTCACATCTCATATAATAATCATAAAAGCCTACATTCTAAAAAGTTCAGTTTAAAAATCAACTCAAAGCCACAGATCTGGGATTCGAACCAAAGCCTCACTGAATCGAAATCCCATCCTTTCCCCAGATGCCATCCTGCCTTCCTGAGAAAGACAGCACTGTGCTGGCAACAACAAAAAAATAAGCTTAGAGACAAGAAAAACAAAAATAAACCACAAAAATTTACAGGGAAGAGAATGACAAGAAAAAAATAAAATCTACTTAAGATCAGAGAAAAGGAAGTGTCCAAAAAGAGAAGTGAAATGTATCATGAAGCTTGCTTCTAACAACAGTTGAATAGACATAACTAAACTGGTTGTGTTTTGATCAAAGACTGTGAGTATTTTGCACACATTAATCCCAGTGAAAAAAATAATTCCAGATTAACAAGGATTTAACCCCAGAGTCAATACATATTAGCTATTTTTGACTGATTCATGCCCCAAATATTGATATTTTCCTTACCATGTACAGCATATCACTGGCTGTTGGATTCACCTCTGATCGGAATTTATTGTGAATTCGAACACAGTCTTTGATGAAATCTTTGTTTTCAATATCTGGCAAAGTATTTTTTGTATATGCATAACTAGAGACGAAAGAAAGCATCCAGGCTGCTGTGGCCAGTGCGACTCGCATGCTCAGTCTGTCTGGCACGGAGCCTCGGGAGGCTGCGACGAGAGCGGCTGCAGTTTGTGAGAAGGAGTGTGCTTGCCTCTGTCAGAGTTCTCAGCTCGCAGCTTTACACAGCATAGCCAACTTCAGCTTTGAAAAAATGGAAAGCAGAACTGAGTTCATCACAAGTTTTAAGAAATGGGTTTCTCCATATATGGTTTGCAGCTCATTTTGTGTTCTTAACCCTGTCTTTTCAGTGGTTTTTAGTGACACAGCACCTAGTACAACAGATTCTTATGAGGCTGAGTCAGACTTTCTTTTGAGTTGGGGGATATTTCCAAAGAAAATTCTGGAGTTTCCAGAAATAACAGTCTCCAATCTTTAACAGAGGTTGTGGTGATTAAATAAAAACACATCTCTTACTTTTATAAATGCCTTGCAAAATGCTTTTCAGAATCTTTTTTTCTTTTTTTTTATAAGAGTCATATCAACACACAGTGGTTGGAACATCTAGTTAACATCATCATCTTGACCTAGAATTCATTCATGTAGGCACACGCAGGGTGGGGCAGGGCGGGGTGGGGTGGCAGGAAGAGAATAACTGAATAGTAGAAAGAGCACTGGCTTCAGATTCAGATTTTAGTTTAAGTTCTGTTCCTAACTAGCTGTAAGACCTTGGACAAGTTACCAAACTCTCTAAGGCTCAGCCATCTACTGAGTGTGGCTAATGGGATCTTTTCTACCTTCTTTATCACAGAGATTTGGGAAGACCAAATGAGCTAGTTACAGTGCTAATTCAACACATATTAAATTCCTGCTCTATGTATTCCGCTTAGTAATACAGAGATAAAAACACAGAAACTGCTCCCAAGGAACACACAGTGGTAAGAGCTGTGAGATGGTGGTTATAACAGGTGCTGTTGCAGATCTGGAGATAACAAAGCACAGGGAGGTAAGAACTCAGGAGAGCATGCTTAACCCATTCTGGAAAGGACAGAGTTGGCCTCCTACATACAGCTGGTGAGGGCTTTGCTGAGGCTAGTGTCGGCTAGGTGTTCATAAAGTGAAAAAGGGCTGGAGAGATGAAAGGAATTGGGCAGATAGGAACTACATATCTAGCTGTGAAGTTGGAAACATGGTGTCGTGGCAAGAACCACTGCATATTGTCTCCCTCTATTGAAAAGTTCTTCAAGTACTGATTCTGGCTGGTAGGAAATATGATGCCTGGTCTCATGGATTTCAGCATCCAAATGATGCCTTTGTGCCAACTGAGGAGAGAGGTAAGAGATCAGGGAGGATTTCTGAGTTCTGACAATGATTTGGATTTTATCACCAAGATGATGGGAAGTTATTGGAGGATTTTAGCTGTAGGTGGGGTGTGATCTGGTTCTAGAAAAACCTGTATTTTATAAAATTAAGAGAGAGAAAATGGAATAGGGTGGGGGGGAAATATTTCTAATGGAAGCTCTTAAAAAGTTAAATATTACAGAACTATAAGGCAGAATCCTATTGCCACATACACAAATAACCGTACAAAATACTCATGTATAATTTTAAATTTTGTCCAGGCTGCCTAATTTCAACATTATATTGATCTAAAATAAGGATCTTCTTGTTTGGAGCTCAGAAGCAACTTTTTGATCAATGTAGTGACAATCAACAGTAAGACCTTCCTCCAGTATGAAGTGGTAACCAGCTCAGGGCCTGCTTTCATCTTCTTCCTGTTCTTTGTGGGCTAGATTGGGTGTTGAACACAGTAGCAGGATAAATGAGATCTCACAAGCAAGCACATTCAGTGATGTTTTCTGGTTCCTTGAGCAATCCCTGTTGTATACATATAACTTTCAGGAATAAGCAATATTATCTTGGTATTGAGATGAATTAGTCAATTTTACTCTAATTTCCTGAAACTAATCAGCAAAAGGGAAAGTCTATCATCACAGAGATGATTTTTGCATTATTACGCAGAGCAATGTAGTTCCTTAAGAGACACAGCTCTCAAATTTCTCACTCCACACTATATTTCTACAACAATAGGAACTTTTACCTGGAAAAAAATGCAAGCCTCCACTTATTAGAAGGATTATAACCTCGATATAACTTTTTCCACTCCTTACTGTGAGTCTTTGCCATGATCTCCTTGATAAGTATACATGTGTGCTAAGAAAGAGATTTGTTTTCAGTGGTTATTGCTTAATGATAGCATTATATGAGAGTTTTTAAACATTTTCTTATTCTTTTCTATATTAATTTTTTTATAGTGACCATATGTTGTCTTTTATAATCAGAAAATAAACCCAAACTATTTTTATTTTGGAAAGCCATGGGATCTTTAAAATAATGCACAAATTCACACACACATACACAGCCTGATAAACCTATGTATAGATAAAAGACTAAAGGAATATTGGCAATTCAAGTATTAATTGTGGCTATTGTTACATGATAGGATATATTTCTCTATCTCAGAATGTTTTAACTAAAATGCTTTATAAAAAAGTTTGCGTATCTAGAAGAAATCATATATATATCATATAGAAACATCTCACCCTTGTTATACTGTTCTAAATACATCCATTTAGATACATGATGAGCTTTTATTTCTGGGGGAGAAATGATGTAGAATTCCCTATAACCCCATCCTTTCTGATTAGATTCTGTAAACATTTAGACTACAAAGACCTCTAGTCACCTATTCTATTGGGTCTTTGGGTGGGAGGTAAGGGATGGGGATGGACAAAGGTAAAGGATCTAGAAAGGGAGAATAATCATAATATTTATCAACCAAACATATCACTGTTATATTATCTGTGGGATAATACTTTAACTTGGTATAAACCAGTTTTATGCATGTGTGTACAAGTTAACTCTAATCTGTGTCCTAAGAGCAGTTAGTGCTAGAGTACTCTAATCAGAAATCCACACCCCGAAGGCAGTCTTGGTACTTGAGAGATGATTATGGAAATTGACACCAGAGAGTCTGTTAATTAGAATAGGGCATGTTGGAGAATAATTTTCACTGCCAAAATGAGAAATGTTCAAGCTGGATGGCTTGTAAAAGACTGAACACACCCTCTGCCATTGCATGAATGAAGCATATGTGTAGCTCTCTAATACTAATGATGAAGTGTTCAAGGGAATTGCTACAAGAGGCCCCTGTCACCTGCCCTGAGTGCAAGGCTGCTGGTCTTAAGTTTAGAATGTCTGTTGAATGAGTGTCTCATACAGCTTATGGTTGGAGGAAATATCTAAGGGCAGAGAGCACTGTTTTTGTAACTGTTTACTAATGAATATTACGACATTTAGTAGAATTTGTCCAAGGCTTGCTTTCACAGCAGCATACTATCAGGTATTGCAGTTGTCAGGGAGGGGAACATAGCTTTTGCATAACCTAGCTCCAGCTGCATGAGGCTCCCCTTCTATTTACTGAAAGAACCTGACATTTGAGGATATGCTAGCTTAGGTTAGTTGACAGCAGTGACAATCACCAAAGTAGGCTTTTTCATATTATTTCACTATGCTCTCACGATAATCTTGTAAGTAATATATACATGTATCTTGTAATATACTACCATATATTCCTATGTATAGATGAAAATATTGAGGAAAAAAAGTTAAATAACTGGACCAAGGGCATGACACTAGTAAGATATTAACATAGGGTCCAATTGCAAATCCTGTCTGTAGATAAAAGCACAAGTTCTTTAGACTACCTGTGTTCAAATCAAATTCTTTGTACTGGATATATGACTGGGCATTTTGCCTCTCTGTGCTTCGGCTTCCTTATCTGTAAAATGGCGATAGCAACAATACTACTTCATTAGATTTATAAGAGAATTTAAATATGAAATTGTTTGTAAAAAGATTAGAGAATGCCCGACATACAGTAAATACTATATATATTAGCTATTATTACTTTTCTCTTATTATGCTTATTGTGCATGGGTATATTCCATAGATTCAATTGAGGCTATGTTTAATCTAGAAAATTTTCCTATTTATAGCATTACATTTAGATAGGACAATAAAGTTAGTTGTTAGAAAAAATATGTTGACACTATAAATATTATTGCTATAGATTCACAGTGAATTTTGATGCAAATTATTGAGAATGGTGTTAGTTTATTGATGGATTCCTTATCTTGTGGCTTCTCATGCACTGTATTTGGTATTCATTTGGATAGTCCAAATAAATTATTTTCCTAAGATTAGAAATGGATGTATTGAATGATGCATAATGATATTTTATAATTAGTTTTAAAACATTTTTGGAGATTTAGATGGAAAATGGTGGGCAAATGCCATTTCTTCCTCAAAGATGCTTCTTATACAAAGACACTGGGCAAGAGAAATGTTCCTACTAATAAATGTACTCTTTTCTTCTAAAATAATGTATAAAACAGGACTATTTGCTTTTTTAGTTATTAGACTGAAACACTTCTTTTGATGTTTTTAGATTATGTTTTTCTCTACCCAACAAATGAAGGTGTCTTTTTAAAAAACAATTACCTTTTTAAAAAACATAGCTTTGTAAATTGAAATTGAATTTTACTTTAATGTCTTTTGCCTAGCTTGGGTGATTTGGGGTTATATCTAGTTCTCAGGACTAGTTAATTATATTTGTATATTCAAGCACAATTATAGCTACACTGAATCTTTTCTGATTACTAAGGATTCTGCTATGTGGTACTTTCCTTTTAATATCTTTGACTTAAAGGAAGAAATAATCTATTATTTTGTACATTTTTACTACTCTCCCTTCCTTAATCCCTTTCACTAGTGATAATACATAACATAACCACAGCTTTCTTTTCCAAGTAGAGTCAACTGGATGAAATTATGACAGTTACACAGACCTCATTGATTTTTGCCCACAAATGCCTAACATAGGCCTCAAAGCCTTGAAAAAATCACCTACAAAAGGTTGTCCAAGGGTTTGTTTCACACTAGCTGGTGAAGAAATCCATTTCCACCAAAAGCTCATGTTGCTTTTCCAGATGCTAGTCTTTTTTCTTGTGTGGCCATTGTTCTGTGGGTTTCTGCTAGGGTGCCTCAAGGAGCCAGGCCATCAGTCATGTGCTCCTTGCCCGGATGCTCTTTAGTTTTTATTTACATCCTTCCTGCTTACCTACCTACAGAGTTTGGATTAT